TTAAAATATGAAAAAGGAGAGGTTGGTTGTTCCTTTGGTCAGAAGTTAGAGTTTTTGTATTTACTTCATTATTGAACTCGTGTCACTGGGGTGGCTTGGATGATAAAGATAAAGAGTATGATAAAGAGTATGATAAGAGTATGATGAGTGTATGAATGTATGAATGTATGAGTGTATGATGAGTATGAAAGAGTATGATGATAAAGAGTATAACCTAATCCAAAGAATTTTGATAAAATGCTCATGAACTGAGTAATGTCTTCAGGTCCTTACCTCTTTTTCAGACCATTTCGTAGTTCAACTAAGATACGTTTTTTTGAGAACACGAGTTGAGAGGAAAGGACACACTTGATGTTTCTATTCCTTGGTACTATTTTTCTCAGACTTGAGTTTTTGTTAAAAATTCCACTAATCACAGATGGGGGGGGGATCAATTCGAGCAACCGGGGGTCTAGATAACTGAGGGAATACAATACATATTAAGAGGGCTGAGAGAGATGTACTTACAATTACCAAAGAAGTTTTAGGCATATCGAGGGATCTTAAATGCAGGTCCATCAGAATCTTTGCTGGAAGAGTCAGGTTTGTGCTTCTGAATTATGTTCTGAATTTTATTCCATTCTCTGTCTAACTCAGCACGATCGTTCTTCTCTTTATTGTACTTCCTTGTGCGTCTGCCATCAGCCATTTTGACACCATATTGAAATGCAGCCTTTGGTAGAGCCTCTTTGCTATTCATATAGTTGCTGTACTCTTCAGTGGTGTCAAAGTCCCATCTTCCAACAGGGCCTTTTTTGTTACCAAGATCCATTTTTGTGAAGTCAACCTCATCATCTGAGTCATCAATAGCGTCTTGCATCTCCTCCAAACCTGTGACAATCACATAGTTTTGAAAAAAATAAAATAAACAGCAAATTTTAAAAAATCTGTGTTTCCTCAGAAGGTTGAGCTCAGACAGATAGATGGCAACTGACAATAAGACAAAAATGATGTTTTAGCCAATGTGCATGCTTCACTGTCAGTATCAAAGATAAAAGTGACTCTTTTATGACAGGAAAAGAGATCAGCAAAGCACAATTTTCCTTCAGAGAGATATTTCCTTTAGTGCAACTAATCAAGAAGGGAGCTGCAGATGTATACAGAGTTCAATTGGATCTATCATCAGCACAGGTTTTTTTTTTTTTTTTTTTTTTTTTTTTTTTTTTTAAACAGTAATTTTTTTTGCAGAATCCGAAATTCGAAGTATGAAAAACGGACCATATCGTCCAATTTTTTTGCTTACTTGGATCAACTCAAAATACTTAAAACATTTTACATTAAGTTCCTTTTTTCATGAACGACTGCATTTTCAAGCAAATCGATGATAGAAACTTCGGTACCGACCCATATCATCAACAAAATCCAAGATGCCTGAAATGCAAACACCTCCTTATTTTCCTCTATGACCTGAACTGTCTCCATGCTTGAATGATAATCTCCTTTTAAAACTACGAAAAAGTTTCAACTTCATTGAGAATATTCCTGTACAGCAAAACTAACCTGGATAGCATTCGGCATAACCAGTTGGCTCTGCAGCAAGACGAGAGAGAAGTCCTGATTGTTTTCCACCCTCTTCTTTTGCTGCAACACCTCGCAGTATTTTCTTCCGCTCTTCTTGTCTATCAAGGCTCTGTTGTTGTAGCTCGTTCTCACGATCAGTGGAACTGAAGTAATTAGATGTTTTTCTCTTTCCTGATGATTCACTTTTAACAAGCGATGGATTGTAGTCACCAACCTCTGGGTATATATTCTCTTCAACCTGCCAAAAAAAAAAAATTGAAAGGTCAAAAATGCTTTACTTACATTTAGCTGAGTTTCATAACAAGGAGAGAGGGAATGGCAGAAGCATATTAGCTAGGATGCACAAATACTGGTTAACAATCAATCTTAATTGTTGTCCATTGCTATTCTTAGTCAACATTGAGTACCTATTTACCTCCCCTTGCATATTCAAAAACTTAGGATACCTTACACAATGTTTATTTCCATGTAAAGATATACTTACTTCATGGATAAAATAAAAAATTTTTGCAGTGTAAGTAGATATGGACGTATTTGTAATACATCGAAAGTAAGCCATGTAAGTAAATATTATCACCTCCATGGTTAATTATGTCCTTAATTTTGGATGTCGCATGTTTCTTCATCAAATGTAAATACCGTTAAATAATATGAGGGGTGACTATTTTGCATCTTCCAAGAAGCAAATACACAAAGTGCTGTATTGTAGTAGAAGTATCTAAAAAATCAATGGAATAAAACCAAAGAACTACTGACCTGAGATTTTTCCTTCTTCTTAGATTTTTTCGAGTGCCGAGGTCCTTGTCTCAAGTAAGAAAGAATTTGCGCTAATTTATTGATGACGATATCATTAGTTGTAAGAGTTGGTTTTTCTTCTAGATTAGGAATATCCGCTTTACTTCTAATTAACGTCATAGGGATGTCTGTGTCAGCAATTTCATCTTGTATGTCAATGACGTAGGCCATTCTCTGTGGGGCGAATAGATCATTCCTTTTAATTTCCTTGGTGCCCATGATCGTACGATAAACATTCCTTCCAAGTCTTGTTTTGAATTGCATTTCCTCTTCCTCTACCTTTTTCTCTTTCCGTGGTTTGCTGATTATCTGTTCCATCTCTTGTTCTTGTTCCTGCTCTTTCATTTCAATTTCACTTCGGACTTTCTGAAGAAGCGCATAATCAAGCCCTTTGACCAAGTGAGTGTGCTCCATGTCACCACCCAAAAATTTAGACTCTTGAATCATTTGACGTCTTCTTTCAGCTGCATCCATACCAGATTTCAAATCAGGCGCCACGGCACGATAACCACTTGCGGAGGCCAACGGATCTTCTGCTTGGTAGTCAGGGTTTGCTCCTTCTCGCCGCTCCTTTGCTCGGTCACGGTATTTTTCAGCAAGCTCTGCCATTTTGTCCTCCTCTTGCTTCTTGAGTTTCGCGTAGAAACTTTTCTTCTTCCTCCGTCTTTCAGCTTTATCATCTTCTTGCGCAACATCTTCTGGAAACTTTTTGGGCTCTTCAGCCTGAGCCTCCTTAAACTGGTTAACAACTGATGAGGTTGGGAATGATGAGGGAGCTGATGACCTAGGTGTCATCAAAAGCTTCCGAAAATCATCATTGGTAAGCCTCACTGAGCGCCCGCCTTCAGCAGACTCCTGATTAGGATACTCCGGCATATTTGAGGTACTTTAGATACTCACACCACAATATGACACCTCCCCGATTGAAAACAAACGCAAATGAAACTACCACGAAAAAGGCACACTCTTGATTTACAACAAGCGATGATATGACAGGTAAGTAGGCAGAAAAAACTTAATTGATCTAAAAAAGTGACCAGCTATTCGAAATTTATTCAAAATTGTGGTTTCTAACCTCCAAATAAATAAAAAAGGCAAACACTGCAGTAACCTAGGTTAGTGCAATCGCACATTTCTGCGCCATGTTGATGACGTACTATGTACCAACCAACCCATTGACGTATATGTCAATAAAAAAGAACCAACCTCCTCTCTGCTCTTTGTTTTTGTTTTGTTATGAGTTTAAATTTTCTGCACATGCCACTTATTTCTGTTAATTCCGAACTTTCGAAGCTGTAGTTTTCTCACTATTCATTGTTGTAACGTAAGATTTTTATTTCATATAATTCGTTTCTTTACTCTACGTAATACCATTCCCATTATTGTTATACTCGCTGAATTTGATGCATTTTCTCACAATCAAATGGGCATATCAACGGTGTAAGTGGGCAATCACATAACTCGGTTTGCAATGTCGCAGACTTACTGCCATACTACATTTTTTAAACGGAAAACTATTCTACGGCAGTTCTTTATGATTTTTCTGCTCTATGCGTGGAAAATTCTGCAAAAACTTCAAGGAATGGTGTCAGTTTGTTAAAAAAATAACAGAGGCGGAGATTTTCAGACACCGCAAACGAGTTATGTGATTGCCGACTTACACCGTCAATATGTAGTACTAGTGTACACTTCAGTTTGTTGTCACTGTACCAATGTAAATCTGTGCCTGTCAAGTTATAGTTGTAGAAATAATTCTATGGCTCGGACACCGCTAAGGTCTTTACTTTCAGATCAGTTTGTCAGTGTGCTCCCAGATTCATAGGTTGACCAGGGAGTAGAAAAATTTTTTTGCAGTAGAATCTTTGCCTTGTGAGTAAATTCACTTTCAGAAGAAGACGAAAGATCTTTCATCTTTATTTTTGCATCCACCCTTGGTGTCTGAATAAAGATAGCAGATCCTCGATGCACTTAAGTAAGAAGCCTGCAAACTCATTGGGCATAAACCTGCCGCAGGTCAATTCCCCATAGGTATTCTGTATCTGCGTGTCCAATGAAAGAGGAAAAGTAATCTGAAACGGGCTCTAACTATGAGTAAAACCTAACTTAAATAGGTAATGAGATGCATGCACATGTCTATGACACAGTTTAGAAGTCTCCTGTGATGAGATGCATTGAGTGCCACAAATATAATTTCTTTAATTTTATTTATTGCATTTTTTATCAGATTTTCAATCATGGATGATAAAATTCCTCCTACAATACGAGCATTGGATGAAACGGTAGTCAACCGTATTGCTGCTGGAGAAGTAATTCAGCGTCCTGCAAATGCCCTCAAAGAGCTGCTCGAGAACAGGTTATCCCTTTTTTCTTTTTCCGCATTTACTTACCTCCTCATTATATTTTTTCTAAGAACAGATGTTACTAGTCTGAAAACAAGGGACAAAATCCATGCTACCATGTGTGGTTATCTTTTGTCACCAAGATTCTATGACCTTTCTGAGCGTGAAAGTACTAAACTAGGATGCTGTGCTTGACTGATGATAGGGCCATGAAAGACTAGAAGAGAAAGAGTTTGTGGGTTTCCTCAATTAAACCAGAATCTTTGATAAAGAGAGTGAAAATGAGGATAAGCTCAATTCCCAATCTCTAATCATTGTTTTTGGTTTAAATTTGAACAAAATTACCTAAACAGAAATACCAATGTATGAGTGCAGAAACTTCCTAATTGAACTACTGTCTTAGCTTGGTAAAATGAGTAACTCCCCGTACAAGCTGTGAAGTTGAACATTTTTCCACGAGGCAACTTCATATTTAAACCAAAGAAAAACTTTTTATGCAGTGAGATATTGTAGGCATGTTATGACTTCCTTCTGTTCGGTATTTACTTAGCTGTAGGTATCATGTGAAACAGAACGTGCATTAACACCCATTCTAACTAAGTATCTTTCATGTTAATCAATACCACTGACAAAAGGTTTTTCTTGCAAAAGCAACTTTCTCATCTAAGTAACTACGATGACTGCATACTTAATTATAATTTTCATTTTTTTCAGTTTGGATGCCAAATCAACTAATATTCAGATAACATTAAAGGCTGGAGGTCTTAAATTATTACAGGTACTTTTCTCTTTCTTCTCCTTAATAATTTATTGACCAAGAAACTAGAAAAACAGATTTTTCTATTGCAATGTTCCAGAAGTCTTACTCCTACTCTATTTTTATGGAAGTATTTTGAGAAATTTTTCTCTATAATTTTCAGAGAGTATTCTTCCAAAATTAAAGGAAAAACATATTAACAAATCTGCCATGACCCTAACGAAAATGTATTGATTCTTCATTTCACCTCCAACTTCAAAAGTTAGAAGCATCAAACATAGTTTGATGCTTCCCTGGTTTTAAGTAGGTATTTTTAATTTAGTGTAGGCAGTAAATTTGCATTCGTGCACTTGATTCTGTTTCCAAGATTGGTATTCCATTGCAATGACGAAAATCTGCTTTGATGGGTGTTAATATCTTCTAATTCCTTTCAATTTTTAAGAGGTATAGGAGGACCATTGCTCTGTTTTACAAAGACTCTCAGGAATTTACATGAAGCCTGAGAAAATGTTCAGATCATAGTATTGAGAAGCCTACTGGGAACTGTGCCATAGTAATTATGAGCAACCTTGTGGTTAAAAATGATTCAATGAATACCTGAAATCGAGTTTAAGTTTGCTTATGCCTGATGAAGCGAGTATTTTTACAGTAAAATAGAGGAGGGCAGACCTTTGAAAACTAGAATCCATTGATTAATGATATGAACTTAATGATAGATAATTATCCTGAAAAAAGTAAGGTACTAGTCATCCATAAAAACATAGTAACAAGATTGCATAAGATCATAATATTTAATTCATAATAAGTCATTAATTGTTTCGCGTAATTCAACTGAATATCGAGGAATTTACACAAATTTTTCTGGAATTGCATAAGATCACCAAAGATCACTTAATTTTCAGGTCAATATGAAGAAAAATACGAGATTTTTAGGTGTACGAGAGTATAATGTTCATGAAAGGCAGGAACTTGAGACTGCAAAAAACTACGATTTTTCTTCAATTTCGCGTAATACCACATACCTACTCCAGAGTTCGAATAGTTGCTCCCTTGCTCTCCTGCAGGTGATGGCGCAATTTTCAGCTCAATATGGCATAACATAAGCGACTTTTCTTTTGAATTCATTGAATCCAAGGAAGTTCAGTGCTTTTCACATTGTTGTCGCGGGGCAATTTTTACTGCAATATTATAAAAAATTGAGAAATTACGTGATCACTACCACAAAATAGCAATGCAGACACGATTATTTCAGCGGTTTTAAGAGTCATGATAAGTCATCTCCTCGCATAAAGTATGTAATTTTTCCAACTTCAAGCTTTTGAAAATTTTAGTTAAAGATTGATTCTGTGCTTGAATCAATGAAAATTGATTTTTTTTATGTTTAACATTAATTTAACAACTTTAATAACTTTTCTCTATTTACCAATCGCACATCTGTGTCCTCAAGCACCTCAAGCATTTTTAGTGAATCAACCTGGCCAAAATTACAGTACAAATCTCACTTTTTTTCCTAATTTGATTTTTCTCCAGATTCAAGATAATGGAACTGGCATTCGCAAAGAAGATCTATCCATTGTATGCAAACGTTTCACGACGAGTAAACTCAGCAGTTTTGAAGATCTAAACACAATTGCAACTTTTGGTTTTCGTGGAGAAGCCCTTGCAAGTATCAGTCATGTAGCGCATCTTACAATCATCACAAAAACATCTCTGGAGCCTTGTGCCTATAAGTATGTAGAGAAATAATTTGATCTAGTAAAAATCTCGAGAGATCCGTAGCCACAGTCCAATCAACTTGGTATCTATTCAACTTTCATAGATTTAGGTGCATTTGATCAAATGAATAGCCGAATCATTGAAATGGACCATTTTTGTCTCATCGAATATACAGTGAAACCATGATGTAACTATATTCAGTTTTTTTTTTTTTTTTAAAAAAAAAAAAATGTTGCGCTAGACTCCATGTTTTTTCCCTTAAAAATTAATGGAATATCCCAAAATTTCTCGGAAGAAAAATCTGCTTCACCAAGTTCCAAAGTTCCTTTTCAAATCATGCTGTTGAGTATTTTTGAAGATAACTAGCTCATAATTATTTATTTCTTAGGTGCACGTATGAAGATGGAAATTTAATCGGAACCCCTAAAATGATTGCTGGAAATCAGGGAACGACTATTATAGTTGAAGATTTGTTCTATAATATAGCAACACGGAAAAAAGCATTGAAAAATCCTAGTGAAGAGTTCGCAAAAGTGGCTGATGTTGTAAGTATCTTTTTTATCCTGTGTTTGGTGACAGTCCAATGACTTGATTACTAAGTGCAGCCTGTGGGTAGAATTTTAATTTAACTTGAAAACCTATTTTTTTTTTACATTATTTACTTAATGTGCCTACTTTTACTCTTGACCCAAGTAAAAAGTAGTAGCAAAATTTTTTTTTTAACCAAAAACAAAAATTTTGCAAATTATTTATAATATCGAAAACATCAAAATCGTTGATAATTTCAAGTATTTGACAAAGAACTAATTTTGTTCACAATTTTCAAACTTCTTATAAGATTTTTCATTGGATATATACGTTTTTGCATTTCTGGACCTCTCCCCCAAAAATTTAGTGTGACTATTTCCATGATATCGACTTACATTTACATAATACTGTGTTGCAAGTCATGTCATGAAGCTGTAACCACACGCTAGATTTGACAGCTGCTCATGGGAGTCAACAATCATTGCTCAACAGCTGAAATTTCGTAAATTTGAGTTACTTTCATCCAGATTTGTATCAAATTTACTAAAATAATTCAGACAAATTGATAACTGCTGAGCTCTTATCTTCATTGGTGCCCTGAATTTTGCATACGACGTGCAAAATTCAGGTATAGGGCTGATGACCTGCACAATCAAGCCACATTCAGCGTATGATTCCGGCTTAAGTTAGTCTTTACCTTTTGATTAAACATTGAAGGGTCCAACAAACACAGGGTGCCCAAAATCGAATTGCAAAAACTTCAGGGGTGGATTCTTTACACTGAATACTGAAATGGACAAATTTAAAGCAAAAGGAACTATATCAATGTTGGTTTGAGCTTTATCATGCATGTATATATTCATATGAATCTCAGGGCTCATGTCAGAATGGTCATAGTTCCTTTTGATTTAAAAGGTCCAAATAAGATAATTTTGTTCTTTGATACTTTTTCACTTGAACCATTTTGGGGCAGTGGCAAGGAATTTTTGCAGGGTCGTTGTACAGTTCTCTGTAGGTGAAATGTTGTAAAAAAACAAAAATGTTTCTGAAAAAGTAAAAAAACTTATTTCTAAGAGAGGAAAAAACTAATAAAAATCTGACTGTCGAGTTTATGTAGTAAGGCGATGCCTGAAGCTGAGTTCAGCTAATCAACAAACGCATTGATTCTCCCTAGCTACGTAGATGTCCCCAAAGTGGTTACGGCTACAGAGTGAATTATGACTCCCTGGGTCAAGATGATTCGTCTAAATTTTTGTACACTCTCTGGAAAAAGTATAGTATGTAGTAGTTTTACGTTTTACTTTTTATTTTTAAGCACCCATCTTTATACTTAATTCTAAATTATTCACTTTATTTCTCCCTTTGTAGGTAAGTAAATATGCTGTTCACAATCCCAAAGTAGGTTTTTGCTTGAAAAAACAAGGAGAAAGCTTGACTGACATTCGAACACATCCAAACTCAACCCATGTTGATAATATCAAAGCAATTTATGGTACTAATGTAGCAAGGTGAGTCGTCCATTGTTCTTTACCAATTCAAACATTGTGAGGTCCGGTGGAGAATATCTTCTGTCAGCTGTAGTTTTTTTTCACTTTTACTTTGGAGATTCCAGGAGTCGATTGCCTTAGCAAGAAATCTGTTTCTTAAATTGAGGAAGAGGCTTTCCCCTTGATATAATATTCAATGTATGTTTAAATGAATTTTGAATATTTTCTATACATTAAATATTTCTTGTTTATTCTTGCTCTATGATTTGTGGCCCTAGATAGGCTGTTTTCCTACATGGCCACAGTATTGCATTTGTACCAGCAAGGAACGACTCCTGAGGGATGGATCAGCACCCGTTTTTCAACGCAAGTGTTGATTAATGTTCTGCCAAGCCTGATCTGTCAGGAAAAAAAGATGTCAGTCACCAAAAAACTTGAATTGACTAATAAATGTTGAGAACAACTACTCCGCTATTTCAGAATATTTGACTGAATTGTACCATAGTCATCTCAAAATTTGTCTTTGCTCAGTTCAACTTCCAATTTTTACATCTGTTTGCTCATACTTACTGGCTTGTCATACTTTTTCATTCTATCTTTTTTAATTAAAGTTTGATTGTGGTGAAATTTGTTTATTTTTGTAGAGAATTGCTGGAAGTAGATCTTGAAGATGAAAAAATGAAGATTAAGTTTAAAGGATTTATTTCAAATGCAAACTACGCAACCAAAAAACCTCACTTTCTTCTGTTCATTAATCACAGATTAGTCGATTCAACAGGTCAGTAATTCTGTATTTTATTTTATTGAAACACTTGGGTTTAATATATCTCAGGGGAGAAACTAAGTCAGCAATATTGTTTTTGAACCAGTTGATGTTGAAAATGCATGAGTCATTTGGTTTGAAATTTCAAGACTTACTTGGTGACGAGGTAAGATGTGTACCCAGATCGTGTGACAGCAAGAATATAGATACTAATCATCAATTGGAAGGCTCAAAAACTTTCTTTTTAAGTTTAAATGTTTCAACTGTGTATCTTATTTTCCTTTTTATCATAAATTTTCTAACAAAGTATTTATACAAATGTGAAGTATTTTGTGTTTGAACTGAGTCTCCCTTTTTGTTTCAGCCCTACGCAAAGCCCTAGAGAATATCTATAGTTTGTACTTGGCGAAGAATTCCTACCCTTTCATGTACCTGAGCTTGGAACTTGATCCAAGAAATGTTGATGTCAATGTACATCCGACAAAGCATGAAGTATTTTTCCTTCATGAGGAAGTCATCATCGAAAAAGTGAAATCTGCCATTGAGGCCAAGTTGGCAGGTGCAGACCACTCTCGTGCATTTTACTTAAAGGTAACCTCCAGTCATTTTTCGTAGACTTTTTATATGTTTTTGGTATAGTTATTTTACAAAATTTAATTTATATACTTCCAACAGCCCTCTCAGAAGTAAGTTAACCCATTATTCAAGTCCGATATCATAAAGATATGGGTCGTCTCTACAAGTTTTAAAATATCTGTTTCTATTTTACTCTTTTCAGAAAAAAAAAATCAGCTTCGTTGCTGGTAAGAACACTTTATTGTGATTTGTGACAACAATGCCAACCTACTTCTCCTTAGATTCATTTTTGTCTTCGGTATCCATAATGAGTTTTTAGTTGAACATGCTGCCTGCCACGGTGTTTTAGCACTTATATCCTAACAGGCCACAGAAAAACGCAACAAATGTCCCTTGGAAATTTGAATGCTGTTTGCCGATATATTCTCTGAGGAAAACGACGATGGTGGGATTGTTAAGCTCAACTTGCTTTGACACCAGAATTATTCTGCAGTCTTAAGACTCCAAAACGCATTTGGTGTTTTAAATATGTAACAGGAGTTGAGTAAACCAATCTCAATAATTGGTTACTCAAAATTGACAGCTGACTGTTCGTAAAGTTGTCCCAGTTACTCCATTAAAACGCAACTCACAAATGAGAGGTCAAAGAATATGAAATAAAAAACTCACAAATGTTTTACATTAAAGTTAATAATTTAATCTAAATTTTAATTGGTTGAAATTCAAATTTACTTTAGATTGGTTCTTCCATTTACCTTAAAACGCTGTCAACTTTGTTTACAGTCAAAATTTTTACCATCGAAGCCAATGATACCGAGTAAAGAAGAAAACCCAGTCAAAAACAAAGATAAGGAAGCCCCAGTAGCACCATGTAAAATGGTTCGCACGGATCCAAAAGCTCAAAAAATGGATAAATTTTTACTCCCTTCCCAATCATCTGATTGTGATAAAGACAGCCAGCCGAAAAAAGTTATAGCTCCAGCATTCAAGAAGACTTCAAGTAGCAATGCCCAACGGTAAGTAAAGAAAGGGTGAAAGCAGCCTATCATTTTGTGTCTCATGAATGATCAATGTATTATATCCCCATTGTTAAATTTGGGATAGGAATAACAGTCACTTAGACTTAAGAATTCATGCATCTCAGCCCTATAGCTACTAACTTTGAAAAATAGCATCTAAATCATCGAGAGTGGAACCATAAAAAACCCACATCAAGATTTGTTACATGCTTCAATTTATTCATTTAGAGACAACATTTTGACTTAACATCACAGCCATGGTGTTTATTCTGTAAAGACAGAATAGCTCATTGTGATGGAGAAAAACTTGTTTAGAGCTTTTCCCCTTCAGAGATATGCTTTTAAGAGCAACATTAGCCACGACCAATCAGTAAGGCAACTCCAGATGCATTTGGGGTTTAATTGGAACCATCATGAGTGCAGCGCAGTCAATTATTTTATTAATTAATTTGGCACCCTCTGTATTACAGTTTTTTACGTACTATTCGAAATAGAATCTTACTTCTAACTTACCAGTGGCATGGTGCTTTGTCCCGTAACTCTATCTGAGTAACATTTTTTTATCACATCATAGTGTACAGAAGATAAAATCTGGTTACTTGGCTCACAAAACCAGTTATACTTGTGTCCATATAACATGCAAAGGCACCAATGGCAGTGTAGTGAAAATGAAAACACTAACTCGTCAATATGGTGCGTTTTTGCTCTCATGGCTCTTTTCCTGTTGTCGTTGCGAGCACCTCTGACTTCAATTTAGAAATTTCTCTTTGCTTGTCAATGGGTCCATGTACAAACGAGGGCTACTAAATCATAAAAATGTGAAAATTTAGTAAAAGCCAAGTTGGTTTGATAAAGAAAATGTGTTAAGTGGACATATTTCTGCCAAAGGGAACTATGTGCATCATGACGTGAGCCCTGTCATGCATTTATTCTAATGGGTCTCAGGGCTCTTTTCTTAATGCACATAGTTCCGTTTGGCAGAAATACGTCCAAATAAATGATGAAAAAATACAAATGTATGTATCTCATTTGTCATTGTTTAATCTTTCATAACTACTTCAACAGGCGAGAAATCAATCTGACTAGCGTTCTTACTCTGCGGCGAGTAATTGAAGAACAATGTAGTGTAACCCTCCGAGAAATATTCAATCAAGCCACGTATGTTGGCTGCACAAAACCGCATTGGCTTCTTTTTCAAAGCACTACAAATTTATTCTGTGCTAATATCCAGACAATCATGTAAGTTCTTTGCTCTAGACTGCTGGAGTATCCATCAATTTACTATCTTATAAATTTGTTAAAAATTATTAAGGTGATGATCAGTCAATATTTTTATTAAACATCATTTCTGTTCAAAATTTGAAAATCTACTAAAAATTTACCATTCTATTTACTTTATCAATATAAAGTCTTTCTGACAGACAGTTCATCTTAACTTCGTATCACCTATCTATTCCAGTCTTTGTAATGATTTTTAATTCAACTATCGGCGTAGTTTTAATGATAGGCCAGTATTTTTTACCAATATAAAACTATTTTTTCCTATGTTTTACACTTCAGGTCGGAGGCATTTTATCAAATCCTTTTGTACGAGTTTGGAAATTTTGGAGCGATAAAATATTCCGTAAGTAAAAAATCACGCATTCTGGTACTTATGTCAAAGCTGTCTGAGACCTGAAAAACTGGGAGAAGTCAGGGTGAAAATACATAGACCCTAAAATATAGACCCACACTGAGTAAAAAAAGTCAGGAAATTTTTGTGCAATCAATCAAAAACACCGATTGTTACATCTGCTGAGTAGCACATTAATCGATCCAATAGTATTCATCGACATCTGTATCCCAAATGTACAGCTAAATTTTCCTGTTGAAGATGAGGAATGTAATCAATCAAATATTGATGGTAAAACTACCAGACCATGTATCTCATTCGCAGTGCTGAACAATTTCTGCTCCTATTTTATTTTTTTGAAGGAGAACAAATCCATGTCATTCCTTGAAGTTTTAACAGAGAAGAAAAATTTTGGGAGTTTTCAAAAATTGACATGGAGTAGTTTTCCATTTGAAAAAGAAACTCTGACATGAAGACTGCAACATCGCAAATCGAGATACAGAGTCTGATAGTTTCACGGTCAATTTGTTGTGTCTTAGTGGTTCCACACCATTTTCAGACTGCCTTGGGCGGTTTATACTTGTCTTTGTTTTCATGATCTAAAAGATTGGTAAAAGCCTTTTTGTGGCTCTTATAATTAGCAGAAAGGATAATTGAGAATTTCAAAGAAAAATTTCAACAATTCAGGAAGTTTTTTGAATTGAATCATTGATCGCCACTGGTCCTTAAAAAACTCAGTCCTAAAACCTCAAATTTCCATTAATTTTTTTTTTCTCAACACCAAGGGGTAAAGTCACTTTCCACTCACTCCCAATTGCAACCATTGGAAGGCTGGTGCCAGTATTAGGGTGGCATTAGTAATAAGTTATTAGCCAGCATGGTGTCCAAAGTATTTTTCATGACAATTGTTTTATTTTATACATAGACTACAAGATCAGTTTTCTGTAGGCTTGTGCTGAATGATTATGGGCCTTCAGTTAGATTTCATTTTGCGAAAAGGAACCAAGAGCATTCCAATGTTGCTAGGATTGCGCTATTTAAATTATTTGCGATAATAAAACTTAAATCATGCAAAAAATAAAATTACATTGGTAATTTTCGTCTTGAACTTATAGTTTCTTGGAAGTAAAAATACAAATTGTTTAGATGATAAGTTTACGTTTGCATGGTAATAATAGTTGCTTAATCTTAAGGACTTTTGAATGCTCTTGGTTCCTTTTTGCAAAATGCAATCCAATTTAAGTTACGCAAAACCGCCTTTTTTTAGCCTGTGAAAATGTGTAAGATTTTACCTATATGTACCATGCATCATCAGGGTATATTTTTTTTTTTAAAAACAAAAACAAAAAAAATAAAAAAGGAAATTACTCCATACTAGATTATTTCTTTTTGAAATTAATTTTATAAATGGAATGATATCCCATTAGCTTTATGTTTGCCAGTATTCTCGGTTCATTGTTCCAGTTGAACTTATTGCTGTGTTTCCAAATTGAAAATTGCAGTTTTTGGCACCCAAAAGAAATGTCTCTTACTAAACGCAGATTTCCTTCCGGTGATTGATCATTAAACTTTCTCAAGTTTGGAGGAATGTAAATCCACTGCACAGGGTGTTTAAACGTCTGGAAAACTAAGGACTGTCAGGGAATTTCATCAGGCTAGGAAAAGAATGGAAAAAGGAGAGAATTAACAAAAAAGACTAGAAATTTGAAAAATCTGGGAACTTTCTATTTAAGAATTGCTGTCGGCATAATCAAACGGAGTCTCAATCTGGTTAGGTACCCAGTGCTCTGGAGAAGAATAATTTTTAAGAAAGAATTCGCAATTTTAGGTAACAATTGGATTGCATTTGTCAATAAGGAACCAGGAACTATCTCTGGCTCTTTCTTAAAATCACATATCTGCATAGAGAAACCAACGTCATGTATGTTGTCTCTAAAATGGGCCAGAAATAGTGGTTCCTTATTACAAAATGTAATCCAATTAATACCTAACAAATAGACTCATGTGTGTCTATCATGTGGAGCGAAATTAATTCCAGAAATGTTTTTTTCCGGTTCTAGGAGTGTAAAATTTTTCATGTGAGAAGTCAAGGAATTTTGATTAATTAAGTCAGGGGAAACCTAGGAAAATCAGGGAATTTTTTCCTGCTGGGTCTATGGACACACTGTAAAGGAACATATGTACTCTCATGGAAAAAAGATCAAGTGATGTTTAACTCTTTTTCGAATCCTCAAAACTTCAAAAACGTTTTTTTTTTCTTATTTCTCCTCATGGTTGGATATCTTTTCCTGGCATTTTCCATCCATTTTCAATTCATTTTTTACTTCTTTTCATCCTTAATTTGTCTTTTGTTGACATAGGAGCCCATGAATATAAAAGAACTCCTACTTTTGGGATTGGAACTTGATGAAGCCAAGAAGTACTTAGAAGATGGGCCTGCTGAAGAAGTTGTGCCAAAAGCACTCGCCAAACTGAAGAAGCGAGCACTTATGTTAGACGACTATTTCTCTCTTGAAATGGATGAGGATCAGAATCTCATCACTATACCACTCCTTCTTGGTAAGAAACATATCATATGTCTACATTCTCCCACAATTTATCTTCATCAGCGCCATTGAAGGACAAAAATGTTTGTTTTTTAGCTGTGTAATTAGCTTTAAAATGAAATCTCCAAAGTAGTCCTGAAAGATATGTAGATAATACTACTCTAAGAAAGGAGGAATAATTTATTAGGTATGAACATGTGTGGCCGAAATTGTTAAGCTTGGAGGACAAGGTGCATAACTGCAGTTTCAAGATTTTTCGGTTTTCGGCTACTCATAATGTGAACAAAAGTTGAACCATCAGCCGATTTTACAAATATATGCAATCATTGCGACTTCGGCCATGCTTTAATATTGAAACAGTGTACAAGAGGATGTTAACATATGTATTTACAATTTTACATTTACATTTTTGTGGGGTGTTGGTCAAAACGTTTGCTGTGTCCACCTGTGTTAAGGTAAAATTGTGAGTATATTAACATCCACTTGCACATTGTTTTTTTTTATCAAAGCGTGGCCTGAGTCGCAATCATTGCATATATTTGTAAAATCGGCTAATAGCTCAACTTTTTTTCACATTAACTGCAGTTTTTGCCATTTAAAGAAATACGCATTTAAAGGTTCAAAATTACATGGAAACTTATGACAGACAGAAAGGACTTTTGTTAAATGGGAAACTACTAAACCTCATCCCTTAAAAACTTCTGTGATTTATCTTTTTGTGAAAAGTTCAAGGAATGATGTCGATTTGTTCTCCCTCCAAAAAATTATGGGAATGGAAATTTTGAAACACAGCAAAGGAGATTCATAGTTCAGGAGTTTCATCGTTGATACTACAATTAGAGTTCATTGAGCTGGGAGTTCTTTGGAATCAATCAAGGCAATTAGTCGATCAATCAATGAGCGATTCTTGTTCAATTTGGTGTGACTGATATGATGCTTGGTTTTGGTTCTAATATTCCTTTCGATCTGGATTATGCACTGTTGGTTCATTGACATCGGACTTTGTCTCTGCCTTCTACCACTCTCATTTGACTTGTCCTCTTCTCTCTCTTTCACTTTTGAAAGGACTTGGCTTCGGTTTGGGCTGTTACTGTATGCAACCTTATACTGCGAATCTCTTTCAATTTTCACTGACTGACTTCAATACGTATATGGGATTGTAACCTAACTGGTTTTTTTTTTGGGAGGGGTGTGGAATAAGATTTGAATTTTCTCTTTTCTGTTATGCTTTTCCAAGAATTTTTTGTTGGTTTTTTCCTTGTGACAGTTTGAGCAACAGCTTTGTTTTCTTTTGTCTACTGCAAGAATTATACAGTAGACTTAGCTCGGTAATATCTGGTGGTAGTATTGTGGAGCACCCCTCCTGGAGTAAATATAACCGAAGAATGCTTCACAACCAAGTCCATATGTCTTGGTTCATTTTCCTCCAACGCTTTTTTGTATCGAGTTCCAACATACCTTTTTTGTTTTCAGATGACTACATTCCTCCTCAAGAAGGCTTACCCATGTACCTTCTGCGTCTGGCTTTTGAAGTTGATTGGACATCCGAAATTGAGTGTTTCAGGACATTTTGTCGTGTCACTGCAGAATATTACGGATCTTTCAAGGTAAGAAAAGCCTTATATATATAGGCGTTAAGTTGCAATGGGTGGTGAAAATTAATTGCCTGTATTATTAAAGACCTTTTTCTGTCAATTGTCAAGTATTTCAATTAAAGTAAATCAGCACAAACAAATTTCTGGGTAAATATTTAGCATTTCTTCATTCCTCAATACGCATTATGATTTCCTATCAGTGTGCCAAGTCTGCCTCTACTTTTTTTAGTGACTGGTTGAAGTGGTAAAGTGAGCTAACATCCCCAGGCAGCTGCAAAAATTAAGTGAATGCAAAAACATGCCTGACTTAAAGAGGTTTGTGAGTAACATTAATTTCTCATTACAATCTGAAAAGAATACTCTCTTAAAAGTTAAAACACTGTGTACTCATTTCTTGACTTTCCTCAAGGAAGTAGGTAAATCTAATATTTTATGTTCAATGACCTCAAATGTTATCGTGGAATTAATCTAAAATTACTGATGTTGTCGTACAAAAAACCGAGAGTTAGCCTATTTGAAAAAAACTATAAAATATATTGAAATTTGGTTCAGAAGAGGTGGTAGCTTATTTACTAGCTTTTTATTAAGCCCCTGTCGAGCTCAAGTAGTAAAAAACTTGTTATTTTTTTACAACAATTCAAAGATTGCCATTATCAAAGTTGCTCTGTCCTTGTGAACTACGAGAGTGAAGAGATTTTTTAATGTTGGAAAAATTGCTGCTGTAATGGGAATTTTTGATCAAATTAGCTCAATAATGGCTCCATGAAAAGCTAATGATGTAGGCTGAAACCTTCCATAAACTGTATTTCAATACCTTTAAAAATTTTCTCTAAACAGAATACTTTTCAGTTTGGTGTAAAGGGAATTTTTGATCAAATGAGCTCAATAATGGCTTCATAGAAAGCTAATGATGTAGGCTGAAACCTTCCACAAACTATATTTCAATACCTTTAAAAATTCTCTCTAAACAGGCTACTTTTCAGTTTTTTAAGACAGCCCTCGTACATTTTAAATTATTATCAATTCATTTTGTGTGTCTATTATCAAAATATTCATGAAGTGATTGTGAGTAATTTCTCTAATCTTTCTTTTCTCTTTTCTCTCATTTTATTCTAGTATTTGACCAGATCTTCAAATTGGCAGAAATTAGTGGAACACACTTTTTTCCCCGTAGTCAAATCTCAGTTCCTACCTCCAATGAATTTTTCAGACAACAAATGTTTGCTTCTCATTGAAGATATTCAAAACCTTTACAAAGTTTTTGAGCGTTGTTGATCTATCACTACTTTTTGGAGCATTTGTAAACCAGGGAACAAAATATCTGTAACATCGAAAGAATCTTTGCTTCAGAGGAATGCTCACAATACTCATAATGAGAAAAAGATAACACTTCAAGTCGTCTCAAGTAATAAGTTCCGTATTTTATTTTTTTTACCCTTTTGATATTACTGTCTACTTGTGTCTCTTCAGGAGTCCCATAACCATTTGTGATTGTGATTCTATTTCGATTATTTATATTTGTTTAATTTCTTTATACGGGCTGTTGTAGATTTTTGCAAGAGCTGAAGAGAAATTTGTATACTTGTATTCCATGTAAAATTGCTCAAAAATCACCGTGTTCATATGTTCCTCCCATACTGTAAGGTGAGGAGTGAGCATTAGCCTTTGCAAACCTAGTTATAGTGCCTTTTAAGTGTACACTATTCAACCTGCTCTTTAGCTCTGACATCAGTCTGCAACAGCCAAATATTGATATAATGAACCTAGTGGTGGCTGAACTAGAAGAATGTTTCTTGATTAGCCATATCACAGACTTTCATTGTATTCCTTCATGTTTTAATTGTTAACCTTTATCTCTTTGTAAGCCCCAAAAATTATTGAAACAGTTCTGGGATAGTCAGAATAAGGTAACTTTTTGCAACATGTTCCGATGTCCAATTATCCAAGTGCACTACTGTCCCATCATTAAAGCGTGCCATTCTCAGATTTCATTTTTAGAAAAGGCAGGCAGTGTTCAAATTATTAAGTGAAATATATTTCGTCCTTCGAGTGAGGAGGTCATTATTTTTTTTCAAAAAACTCCACTACTCAAACTTTATTGAATTTATCAATCGCTACTAAAGGTAAACCTCCTCATTTCCATTGTTTATATTCATTGTAATTATTATTGGAGCTTTTCTGTGATATTTTGCGGTGATCAAACCGTTCATGATTTTTTAATATTTTTTAAATGTACCAGTTGTTAAGAAATGTTTTGTCCTTTTCTCAGGTAATTGTGGTACTTCTTGTTAGTTCATATTTTATGAAAATGACATTGAAATACATGAAACCACACACCTAAGTTTCGATTATTTTATTGCTCATGACTCCTGAGTACCTATCGCCATTTCATGAAAAGTGCACTGCAGCTAGCACTGGAAGTGTCAGATGTTGATCAACGTAGAGTTCAATTCATTGCCTTAAATTATCTTTGTAGCTTCATTTACTCTGTTAACGAAGCAATAATAATAAATAGATCGTATTCGATACATCAAACGGGTGAGATTGTATCGATATCGATTGGTTCAAAACATAAACATAGCTTCAAAAGTAAATTCAGAAATCTGAGAGAACGGGTCTTTTGTAACAGATTTTTTATTCTTTTGAGTACCAAATGATAATGCAAAGTGAAATGGTCAGGAAATTTCTCATTTTCAGCTTTTCCATTTTAAATCCTTACAGTTTGGTTTGAGGTTACGTTCTATTGTTTTGAACCAAACGATACATCGAACCCTTATCGAATAAGGTCTATATTAAAAAAAATTTAAAAAAACAAGCTCTGGTTAATTTTGTGTCACTAACTTCGAAAGTGCAGGGGCATAGCTAGGAAATTTCTCGGGGGGGGGGGGCATGGGACCACCTCTCGTGGTGAAGAGAGCGG